AATCTTGAATTTTGGCTCCGGCCCCTCCCCACCCCCATCCACGTCTTCTGTAAGTCCTCCAGAACCTTATCCACATCATATACAAAATTGATCATCTCTGATCTCTTCAGTCTGTTTTTCATTGTTCATGATTCACTTGTCTGCAATCTTCTATTCATTTTCTTCCTACCCCTGTCCAGGGCACTTCAACCTCAGGGGTGACTCCGTGCCTCATCTTTGTAGCGCCTTATCCCAAACTAGGTGGCCAGGATGAGACGGGGATCTAGCGTAGCCTGCCAGTCTCCCAGGACCTGACTTGGAGCAGTGGCCAAAGACTTCCATGCCCACGGCGGGCAGAAGTAACAGGAAACTCAACCAGGTGGAGTCCGAAACTGAGAAAGCATGTTCAGTTAGGGGGGCCATCACCAGTCAGGCCAGGGTGGCAACAAGGTGCATTTTTTCAAGAGAAGCCAAAAGTCTAAGTTTTTACGTGAGCTCTCCTCATTTTTAAATATTCAGTCTAAAACAGATTTTTAAGAACCAGTGTGTGGGCCAAATGGGCTTGTGATCACCGTGTTCTGTGTGGAGCCACCTGCCCCAGAGAGGCTAGTGGGACGATGAGATGAGCTTCAGACCTCCAGAAAGAACGATGGTTGCCAAGGGAGCATCAGCCAAGGCACCCAGAGAGAAATGCTGGAATGGAGGTGGACTCCTGCCCCTTCCCTACCCTGTGGGTCAGGCTCACGCTCCTCGGAGAACTCTGACTTCCAGCAAAGTCCAGAGCCCACACCCAGGACATACTGTGGCAAGAGGCACGGTGCCATAGATGGCCTACCTATCACTGCAGTGCTCACGAGGGACCGGGGCGTGCCAGTGCTTTTCAATGGGTCTCCCCCAGTTCTTCTTATTTTGCTGCCTCTAAAGCTCTCAGAGAAGTGGAAACTGAATGACAAGATATGGAAAGGTCTTCAAAGCGCTGTGCATCAGAGTAAGAATCTAAAAAGTTGAAAAATAAATAAATAAAAACCAAAAAATAAAAATAAAAGTTGAGGTGAAGCTTTCGGAATTAGAGACGGACCTCACACACGTGAGGGAAAAGAAGACAGTGCTGGGGCACCCGAGTGGCTCAGTCGGTTAAGCACCTGACTCCTGATTTTGCCTCAGGTCATGATCTCAGGGGCATGAGATCAAGCCCCGCATTGGCTCGCACGGCATGGCCTGCTTAGGATTCTCTCTCTCTCTCTTTCCCTCTGCCCCTCCCCCCTTCTATAAATAAATAGCAATGCTGTCACTGTCATGGTTGACAACAACAGTCGTTCCTTATAATAAACAAGCTAACATTTACTGAATGCCTGCTGTATGCTAGGCAATTTAGTGTGAATGAGATCTTAAAATCCCCGTAAGAACTCTTGAGAATAGGCATCGCTCTCTTCATTTCCTAAGTGAGGAACTGGGGTTCAGAGAGGCTGAGTCATTTAGCCAAGATCACACAGCCAAGAAGTTTAGCAAAACCAGATCCTGTCCAGACTGAGTCCAGAATCTGCCCCTTTAACGGTCACCCACACGTTGCCCATCTCTGGCATGCCGTCCGGTCCTGGCACTGCTGTGGCCCTGGCACCTAGCACAGTGTTTGTTGAAGACATACATGATCTTTCACCATTATCACATAATGCCTGATAATTAGTGAGCTAATAAATACTTGTGGAGCATGTCCTCTGGGCCAACCACTAGGCAAAGCACTGTAGACGTCGCATCGGAGAAAACAAAGTCCCTGCCCTTCAGGGGCTTCTGCTCCAGCCCAGTGGATAGAGACACGGCACATACGGGTAAGACTGTTTCTGGTAGAAATCAACGTGAAGGAAAACAGAATGCGGGCTCGAGGGATGGGCCGGCCGGCGGGGTGGGAGGGCCGGGGAGTGGCACTTTAGGCACAGTGACCCGAGGAAGAACATCCGGACTCAAATCTGAATGTTGGGAAGAAGACGGCTGTTGGAACGTCCACAGAGAATAGTTCCGAGAAGAGAAGTACCGTAGGATCTCCAAGGGATGATGCCCGTCCCCACAAAAAAAAAAAAAAAAAAACCATTGGGTAGGGGGATGGAGTCAGAGGCCGGCGGGGCTGCATCAGCCAGGATCTCATAGGCCGCGGTCTGGAGTTTGGATTTCGTCTTAGTTTCAACGGGAAGCCACTGGAGAATTGTAGGTCCGGAAGGGATATCGTTTGATTTACAATTTTAAAAAGTCCCTCTGGGGGCCCCTGGGTGGGCTTAGTTAAGTATCCAACTTTTTATTTTGGCTCAGGTCATGATCTCAGGGTGCTGAGATCAAGCCCAAGATCTGGCTCCCTGCTCAGCACGGTATCTGTTTGGGATTCTCTCTCCCTCTGCTTCCGCTCCCTACCCCACCCCCTCAAATAAATGCATCTTAAATAGTGTCTCTGACCGCCACATGGAGAATAGATTGCAGGAGCGCAGGGGTGGAGGTAGAGACCAATTAGAAGGTGGTGCGATAGTCCTGGCAGGCTTTTGCTGTAGTAGTAGAGGTGGGTGAGAGGAGGTCAGGCTGGGGATACGTTTTGAAGGAAAAGGGAACAGGACTAATAGAAGGCAGAGGCTAGCGGAAGAGAGGCGTCAAGGACGACTTGTAGGCTCTTCCCCTGAGTACATGGGCAAATGGTGGTGCTGTTTCCTGAGATGGGGAAGACGTGGGGGAGGTGTGCAGAATCTGTGGTGCTGTCCTGGCTCTGTTCAAACAGATCCCTCTTACTCGTCCAAATGGAGATAGATGCTCAATGGTCAGATCATCTGGGGCTCGGGACAGGGGTCAGGGCTACAGGTACGATCAGCCCTGGGTCATCAGCATGCATGTGAATATATACGTAGGACCCGCAGGCTTATCGATGTAGAAGCCCATAGGTGGGGAACCACGTATACGGCTATAAATACACATGCAGGTACACTGTCTGTGTAGGTACATACTTACACACACATGCATGTGAAATAAACTGAAAGCCATGGGACTGGGTCGGATCACCCAGGGAGAGTGTGGAAGAAGCGAGCCAAGGACAGAGCCCTAGGACATTCCTACATTGACAGGTTGGGAAGAGGATGAGCCAGGAAAGAAACAGAACCATCAGTGCAGCAAGAATGACGTCAGGGAAGAAAGTGTTTCGAGGAGGAGGCAGTAGTCAACCATGTCGAAAGCTGCGGGGAGGTTGAGTAAGAGGAGAGAAAATGTGACCTGACGTGGGGCTGCAGCTAGAGGCAAGGCTTCCAGGGAATTGTGCTGTGTTAGGGCCGCAGAGAAATGGGCAGGATTTGGAGAGAACGTGAATTTATATTTTTTAAGTTTTTTTTTTTTTAAGATCTTATTTTATTCCTGAGAGAGGCAGAGACCCAGGCAGAGGGAGGAGCAGGTTTCCCGGGGAGCAGGGAGCCCGATGTGGGACTCGATCCCAGGACCCCGGGGTCACGCCCTGAGCCGAAGGCAGGCGCTCAGCCAGAGCCACCCGGGCGCCCCAAGAGAGGACATGAACTTAGGGATTTTGCTTTTTGGTCTGTTTCCCACCGGGATGTAGGGGAGCCCCTTGTCAAGATGATGGGAATGGCCCGACAGAGGGAGAAAGAGGGTCCCCCACGCAGAAGAGAAAGGGTCGTGGCAGGGGTGAGGCGCCTGAGGCGGTGGAAGGGAGAGGGAGTCCGGCTGAGTAGGCCGCTGGGCTCCAGGGAAGGGCAGGGCAGGGCGCTGGGAGCCTCGGGGGCCTTCTCTGGATGAACAATAACAACAGCTGCAAGGCCTGAAGCACCCAAGGCGCCCTCTGCTCCCTGCTCCAGAGCATCTGGCGGGGAGGGGACAGGAGTAACCTCGTGGGAGCTTAGCTCAGGCCGGGGAGCCCAGAGGCCTCGGCTCCCTCTGCTGGCCTCACCCCCTCCGCCACTGCGTCTGGGGCGACGGCCCCTCTGCACCCCAGCCCTTTCTCTTGCCTCCCTCTTCCAGAAGTCTGTAGGCCTCGGGGGCTCGGGGGGTGGCCCTCCGCTGGGACCCCTAAGTGGCCAGGAGGTTCGGGGGGAGCAGAGGCGCCCGTGGTGGCGAGCGGCTGTCCCCGCCGAGCCTCTGGCCCATAGGCCGTGCGGGAGCCCCGCGGGGGGCCGCCTCTCCCTCTCAGGTCGCCTGGTGGCGCGAGGTCCTGGCACGGGGAACCCGGGCAAGAGTCTTCTCTGCGAAGACTCCCTGCCGTGTTCACGTTGTATCTTCGTGACCGTCACAGCGAAGTTCCGTGGTTGCGGGAGAGGAGCAGCTCCCCGGGGGAACAGTGGCCCCGGATGCGGGACGCAGGGGCTGGGGCAGGGCCTCGGAACACAGACCTGCCGACGGGATTTCCTTGCCTTTGCTGGCGAGCGTGGAGGGGAACCAAGAGCAGGCCGCGGGGTGCTAAGGCGCTTCTGTGATCCTTTAGAAACAATCGGGGAACCGCGTTCTCGCTGGAGAGAAGACGTAACGCGGAGGAGGAAAGCGGTAGACGATGCTTCGGAGGCTGAATCAGCCTGAGGTCCAAAGCCCAACGTCACGGAAGGACTTTCCCCCACGCTCACAGATCGCGTTGTGATCAGGAACGTGAATAAGATTAGACTGGAACACGCTGAGGACGCCCTTTATTAAAAACCAAGAAAGGCGCCAAATCCCTAGCACCCAGCAGCAATTCAAGTTCAGCAACTGTAGCAAACGGACTTTTGTTTTAAAGCCGCAAGGGTAGGTGGTGGCATCTGCTTCCTAAGACAACAAGGCCTCGGCCCTGAAGCCCCAGCTGCCCTTCCCTGTGTTGGGAAGGGAGCCCTCTGGGAAAGTGGGAGCTCAGCAAACCTGTAAGGAGAAGGCAGCGGAGGTCACAGGACAGGTGACATTCCTTCTTTAGTCAGGGAATGAGGCCGTCATGCTCCCTCAGGTGCCAGCTCAGGTGAAAAGAAGTTAAGGAGGAAGAGGAGGAAGGATAGAATTGGGGGGAGCAAGGGGGCCTCCAGGTGATGAGGGAGAAGCCCTGGGCGAGGGTGGATGGAGACCGGGCCCAGCTGCTGAACACGTCGCCTCTCTGCTGCAGGAGCCACGGCCCGTCCCATGCCATGCGCTGCTCCGTCAGGCGCTGCCTGGTAACCCTGGTGGCCATCGGCTTCCTGTGGCTCTTTGTCACTTTGAGGGTCCCCGAGGAAATTGAAGAGGATCAAGACGGGATGACCATCAAAGGCCAGGTAGCAGCCCTCGCTCTCGGGGTGGGATTGAGGGGGAAGGGCGGGATTGGTGCGGGCAGGGCGGTTCTCAAAGCCCTGCACCTTCTCGCCGGAGAGCAGGAAGCTCCGGAGGGCGTTGAGCTATGAACGCGGGCCCATGGGTCCGTAAGGAAGCTGCTCCCCCCAGGATGCGCCAGGGTGCGGGAGAGAGCAGAGGCCTTGAGCCTCCACACGCCGAGCCGGGCGGGCGGGCCTCACGCTCCTCCCTTCCCTTCTGAGAAGCCTGGAGGGGCTCAGCCCTGTTCTCTCTACGAAAGGAGGTTCATGCTGTGCCTCTTGTCATTGCTCTAGGAGGACAGTTACGGCAAAAGGAAAGACCCGAGGTCGCTGGAAGACTGGCAGAACCTTCCCTTCAAATATATTCAAACAATTCAGCGGAGAAGAAAGAGTGAGTTCCAAGGAGGAGCCTGGGGTACCCTAGGGGGGGTAGGGCGTCAAGGGCAGTGCGGGAGCCAGGAGGGAAAGCAGAAGGGAGAGGAGAAAAGCGGGCCTGTGCCCGGAATGTTTGAACCCGGCAGACGATTCCCCCCGACCGTGACGTTCCCCGTATCAGGAAGGAGGAAGGAGGAGGGGAAAGGTCCCTGTTCCAGAACCGGCTTAGAGAGTATTTGGAATCGGAGGGGCTTTAGATGCATCGTCCAAATCCCTCAGTTTTGTGGGTCAGGATCTAAGCTCCGACGTCAAGGGACTCGCTCAAGGTCACACAGTCAGTGGCAGAACTGGGACAAGAACCTAGGGCTCCTGGCTCAGAAAGTACTTTCCCCTTCACCCAAAGGTGAGCTTTGGGAGGATGAACTGGGCGAAACAACAAGAATCATAATAACTATAACATTAGCTAATACTGACCGAGCGCTTAAGCCATGTGCCACAAAATCCTGGCTCCACGAAAACTCAGAGGGACCCGCAGGGACTCAGAATCACCCAGCTCAGTGCTCCTCGGACGGTGCTCTGCCCATAAGGTACTTGGCGATACCGTTAGAGGGCAGGATCCGTTTATCTAGGAACTCAGACTCTGCGTTCCCAACCGGCTTCCACATGACACTGATGTTGCTGCACTAAGGACCACGTTCTGAGTGGCACGAGTCGAAGCGTCCTCTCCACCACGACAGAGCGTAGAGGGGAACTAGGAGAGGGAAGAAAGGCACAGGGACGGTCCCAACAGCACCGCAGCCCCCAGCCTCTGGCTGCCTTTACCCCCAGCCCGAGGTGCACTGACTGTCACCCCCGTTTGCCCTCCTTAGCATGGCTGACAGTGGGCATCTCCTCAGCGACACGACCAGATCAAAGAAACCTCCTGTACACCCTGGTCTCTCTGTTCCGTGCCTCCTCTAAGACTGAGCAGAAACGTCTCACGGTGCTGGTCCACCTGGCACACTCGGACCTCACCTGGCTCAGAGAGACCGTGCTCCGTATTTCAACCCTGTTCAGCCCACAGATCTTGGCAGGGCAGTTGCTACTGATCCACGCTCCGCCCGACGCCTACCCGCCCCTGGAGGACACGAGGAAGGAGGCCCAGCACGGGGAATTCTACTCCAGGCAGAACATAGATCACGCCTTCCTCGTGAGCTTTGCCACAAGGCTCTCCGAATACTTCCTGTTACTGGAGGACAATGTCTTTTGTGCCCCCCGTTTTATCACCCACATCCACTGGAAGGTGGACACCATGAAGTCCGACCCGTGGGTGCTCCTGGAGTTCTCTAATATGGGCTTCCTTGGCAAACTCTTCCACAGCAAGGACCTCCCACTCCTGGCCCATTTCCTCCTCCTCTTCTACAAGGAAAAGCCCCTCGACAGGCTGATCCCCCACTTCCGTACCCTCCTAGCTCAGAAAAACCCAATCATCTGCAGACCTTTCCTTTTCTACTACAGGTTCTCCTACATCTCTAAGGACACCCAGAAGGCCTCCCCCGTTCAGAAGAAGAACCTCGATGGTCCTGACAACCCACCCGGAGCCATTTTCACCGATATGAAGGTTTTTGATGTGCATTTCCCCTGGGAGGCCTACACTCTGGATGAGTCATTCTTCTGGACCCACAATGTCAGTGCGGGGAACCACCTGACAGTCATTTTGAACCACCCAGCGAACTTGAGCAGAGTGCAAGTGTTGACGGGCACGATCGTGGATGGAAAGTACACCCTAGAGAAGGGCGAAGTGGAACTGGGCTATGACCCCGAGGGGATGCCTCAGTACTGTACCAGCTTCACCTTGCTGGGCCATCTCTTGGAAGGGCAGATGAATCAGGAGATATTTCTGAAAAGTATAGGGTACAATGTGAGCTGCGTAAGGCTGGTGGTGAAGGCTAGTCAGGTCGGCGGTCTTATCATCAGGCATATTTACCTCTGGGAGGAAGATGCCAACGACACGGAAGCAGCTCAGAGCTGAAGGGGAATCAGTAGGGGTGTAAAAAAATTAAAGTCTTGAAGCCGTTCCGTCCCAGCCTATCTGAGTGACAGAGGGGAGGTGCCAGGGAACGAAGCGCAGAGAGGGAAGCCTCTATGGTTCTTTCGGTGCCACCATGATGTTAGTAGACCTGTTCATTCTTTTTTCTCCCCAAACAAGTGATTCTTATAGGATAGTTTGTTTTTTTTTTTTTTTTTTTTCTGGGAGCAGATACAGCTTAGCCTAACTTGCGGAAAGACCTTGGTCACCTCTAGAATGTTTAGATTTAGGGGGATGCTGAGATCAGGTCAGGGTGCTTGTGTGGGTGCAAACACACACTTACATGTTGACCACAGTCAGAGGCGGGGGGAGTGTAAAGTGGTAGTAGGAAGGTAAATGGGGAAATCATGGGATGTCCCTAAAATTGACATCATAGGGAGCCAAGAAAGTGACTCTCATTAGAAGTCAAATTCTCTGAAATTCAGGAAAGCAGCAGATGGGCTGATAGCAATAAAACTAAGCCCTTAACTCCATCTTCTATCTTTTTAAGCTGTTTCATCGTCCCTGTCTAGCTTCATCCTTTCCTCACAAACAAACTTGGACATAAATAGTTTGTAACTAAAACATTCCCTCCTTAACTCTGGCTTCTACATCTGCAATGCTTGAAACTCTTCCCTATTGTGATGACAAAAATAGTCAAAACCTAGTTGTGTTTTTTTTTAAAGATTTTATTTATTTATTCATGAGAGACACACACACAGAGAGAGAGAGAGAGAGGCGAGGCTGAGACACAGGCAGAGGGAGAAGCAGGCTCCATGCAAGGAGCCCGATGTGGGACTTGATCCCAGGTCCCCAGGATCACACCCTGGGCTGCAGGCGGTGCTAAACCGCTTCGCCACCAGGGCTGCCCCCCTAGTTGCATTTTTTTTCAGAGCTGGATCCCCGTAACTCTCTGCATAATACACGGTACTATGTTCCTTCTTGAAACAGCCTTCTTGGCTTCTCGGATCCACCCATTCATCAGATACTTGTCGAGAGCCTACTCTGTGCCGGGCACACAAAAAAGCCGCTATTGAGGTTGAGTGCGTGGTCTTTTGGAAGCACAGACCCGCTCTTCCTAAAACATTCTTGGGGGCTTAGGAAAGCCTTCTTGGAAACTATGCTATGTAAGCCTAGACCTGATAGATAATTAGAGAAGATACCCAGGTAGTGTGGGGAGAAGGTCAGGGAGATTTTCCAGTAGAAGAAACAGCGTGCTGAGAAGTAGGCCAGAGGTGAGAAGGGACGTGGCTCATTTGGGAAGACACAAATCATTTAGTGGGACAGGAGATGGAGGGCAAACTGGAGAAGGGGTGGGGCAGAAACCGAAGGCCCAGGACTGAGAGAAGACCAGCTGACGTAGGGCCACGGACAACTCAGTGGGTGGAGGGATAGTCTTTTCAACAAATGGTGTTGAAACAACTGAATATCCACATGTAAAAGAACGAGGTTAGACCCCTGCCTCACACCATATAAAAGGTTGACTCAAAATGGATCATAGACCTAAATGTAGGGTAAAAACTATAAAACCCTTAGGGGAAAATATAAGGTGTAAATCATTGTGACCTTGGATTAGGCAATAAGTACGTTAAGATATGACACCAAAAGTATCAGCGATCAAAGAATAGATGAATTGGACTTCATCAAAATCGAAACCTTACGTGCTTCACAGCACGCTGTCAAGGCAGTGAAACAGTAATACAGAGAATGGAAGAAAATATTTGTAAATCATACGCCTGATGAGAGACTGGTGTCCAGAGTATTACCAAGAAGTCTTACGCGGCTTCATCGTCACCCATTAAGATGGGCAAGGGATTTGAATAGAGACTTCTCCAAAGAAGACACACGAATGGCCAATGGGCAGGTGAGGGGATGCTCCTCGTTAGTCACTAGGGAACCGCAAATCCAAACCACAGTGAAATACCACTTCGCCCCCGCTAGGAAGGCTCTAATTAAAAAACAAGCAAAATAAGTGTTGGTGAGGATTTAGAGAACTCGGGCCCCGCATCCATTGCTGGTGGGGTTGTAAAATGGGACAGTCACTTTGGGAAGGTGTTTAGCAGCTCCTCAGAACGGCCAGCGGATCACCACGTGACCCAGCAATCCCTCCCCCAGTCTATCCCGGACACGAAGCCTGCATCCACGCCAAGACTGATACGCGCGTGTTCATAGCGGTATTGTAATAACCCACAAGTGAAAACCACCTACACGTCCACGTGATGAAAGGGCACGCACGCTGAAGTACACGCCCGGACCGTGAAGTAGGAGTTGGCCATTAGAGGAAGGGAGTCCTGACGAGCCGCCAGCGGCAGGAGAGCCGGAGGCCACGTGCTGTTGGATTCCGTCTACAGGAAATGTCCAGACTGAGCAAATCTACAGAAATAGAAGTGGGTTAGTGGCCAGGGCCCGGGAAAAGGGAGGCGCAGAATGACCCCCAGGGGCCCCCGGGTGGCTCAGCTGGTTAAGCGTCCAACTCTTGATTTCGGCTCAAGTCATGATCTCAGGGTCGCGGGCTTGAGCCCTGCATCGGGCTGCACGCTGAGCGTGGAGCCTGCTTGAGAGTCTCTCTCTCCCTTTAGCTTTGTCCGAATGCCTGCTGGTGATCGCTCTAAAAAAGAAAAAAAACAATTTCATGGTACATGAATATATCTTAATAATAATAATAATAAAAACCCTGTAGAAGCACATAAAGGGGTTCTGACTACCCTGCTGGCAGCAGCGAATGCCTCAACAGTTTAAAGCAGGAGAGCGAACGTGACCCGTGCCGCGCTCTGGAAAGGTCACTACGGATGTCCTGTGCCGACGGCGCTGAAGAGGGTCAAGACGCGGGAGACCCAAGCAGAAGTCCACGGGGGAGGGATCCCGGGGTGGCGCAGCGGTTTGGCGCCGCCTGCGGCCCAGGGCCTGATCCTGGAGTCCCGGGGTCGAGTTCCCCGTCGGGCTCCCCGCGTGGAGCCTGCTTCTCCCTCTGCCTGTGTCTCTGCCTCTCTCTCTGTGTCTCTCATGAATAAATAAAATCTTAAAAAAAAAAAACCCACGGGGGAACACAGGCAGGGGTCTGTCTCGGCCCCCGGCGCACCATGGGCTCTTCATAACGACGCTTCCCACCCCCTCTCCCCACCTTGGCCCCGCGGTCCTGCACTCTGGATTTCCACCCGCCTCTCTTGCTGCGGATGCCTGCCACTGACGCTGCTCCCTCTGCCCCCCCAAACACGGGAATGTTCCAGGGCCCTTCACGCCTCGTCATCTATACCTTCCTTCTTCGATTTCTGTGACACTGTGCTCAGTCACCCGAAGGAGCTCTGGGGTGCTCCCCAGTCTGCAGCACCCTCTGAGCCTCGGTGTCTTCTCTCCAGCTGATGACAGGCGCCCTCCCCTTGGCTCTCCCACTGTCACCTCCAGTCACCATGTCTAAAACCAAATTCTTCAGCTTGCTCCAAAAGCCAGTCCGCCCTTCCAGACCTTTCTACTTCTGGCCATGGTTACCTTACATACAGAGACTCAATCTTAAAACAGTGTCTTTTTTTTTAATATTTAATTTATTCATGAGAGACACAGAGAGAGGCAGAGGGAGCAGCAGGCTCCACGCAGGGAGCCTGGCACAGGACTCGATCCTGGGACCCTGGGGTCATGCCCTGGGCCGAAGGCGGCGCTAAACCGCTGAGCAACCCGGGCTGCCCAACGGTGTCTTCAAAAAGTGGTCTACAAACTACCCGCATCAGAATCACCTGCAATTGCTTGTTTATTTTATTTAAAGATTTTATTTATGAGAGAGAACGAGCAGGGGGAGGGGCAGAGGGAGAGAGAGGCTGAGTCCCGGGGAGCGGGGAGCAGGGAGCCCGATGCGGGGCTCGATCCCAGGACCCTGGGGCCAGGACCTGAGCCGAAGGCAGGCGCGTCACTCACTGAGCCACCCAGACGCCCCTGGAATTGCTGGTTTAAAATTATTTTACCGGGATCCCTGGGTGGCGCAGCGGTTTGGCGCCTGCCTTTGGCCCAGGGCGCGATCCTGGAGACCCGGGATCGAATCCCACGTCGGGCTCCCGGTGCATGGAGCCTGCTTCTCCCTCTGCCTGTGTCTCTGCCTCTCTCTCCCTCTCTGTGTGACTATCATAAATAAATAAAAAATTAAAAAAAAAAATAAAAAAATAAAATTATTTTACCGAATCTTGCCCATTCTCCATGCATGGAGCTTCAACCTCTGATTTTCTATTTTCGTAGCTGCTCGGGGTAGACCTACCGGGGCCCGGGCAGGCCTCCACAGAGCGGCCTCCAGGAGCCAGGCGCCGGCTGTGTCCCGGGCACCGGGGAGAGGGGACGGCTGTCCATTCTGGCCTGGTCCAGCGTGGGGACAAGTGACACAGAATTCCAGGGCCTGCGCCTGGTGCCTGGGGTGGGCAGTGACCCGGAGCAGCTCCCAGGCGGGAAGTGGAGGGAAGGGTGGCCCGGGCGGAGGTGGAGGTGAGCAGTTCAAGCGAGGGACTAAGGTCTTACCAGGGCACCGGCTCCTGGGGACGTGCCCAGCCCTGGGGCCGCAGGGAGGGCAGACAGGGACCCGGGTGGGCGGCTGTGGGCGGCGGTGAGCGCAGAGCTTCAGCGCAGATCCGTGTCCTCCCCCCGCGTCCTGCCACCTCGCCCTGGGCCCCGCAAGCCAAAGGCCTCCTACAAAAAGCTAAAGGATGGGACGCCTGGGTGGCTCAGAGGACGCCTGGGTGGCTCATCCTGCCTTTGGCTCAGGATGTGATCCTGGATTCCTGGGATTGAGTCCCACATCGGGCTCCCTGCGTGGAGCCTGCTTCTCCTCCCTCTGCCTCTCTTTCTGTGTCTCTCATGAATAAATAAATAAAATCTTTTTTAAAAAAATGAAAGCTAAAGGAGTCGGATTTTGCTTGAGAGGAAGATGAGGGGTGACATCAAAAAGAAATTTTAAATAATCTCTATACTCATCGTGGGGCTCGAACTCA